ATTTGGAATATTCACGTGCTCAAAGATTTTTATACTCTAGATAGATTGTCTTTTATGTGAAAATCTAAAATATGATTTAGTAGAAAATTTTATTTAATTCTAATATATATGCAAGTAAGTTTTATATACACAGTTTTTGAACAAAAAAGTTTTTTTTTTGTGAAAAAAAGAGTCGTATATACACATTTAAATCTGTAAGATTTGTTTTATTTTTTACTTTAAAAATTGATTTAGGGCTTGATTGGTTATCCCGCTAGCACCCTCCTAGCGGTTGCTAGCGGTCGGTTGCGGTTGTTAGCGGTTGGTACCAATCATAGAAACCGCTCCGTCATGCTTCGAACCGCTCGAAATCGCTGAATTTCAAAAGCTCCTTCCCGCAAGCGTTTGCGGTTGCGGGCGGTAGCGGTTGGATTTAAAAAAAAAAAATTAAACATTTACTTATAATTATTATAATATATATTAATTCTATATATATCTTTCATCTTTGTATCACTTTGTATCACGTTCTCATCAGAAACCCTAATAATATTCTGAAACTCTATTCTCTCAATGTTTTCCATCCAAACTGATGAAAATTAATAACCAAATGTAAGTATCATATATCCTTTTATTCATTCATCACCTCATGTGTAACTTTTTGAATATTTTTCATGGCATCGTTTTTTTTATTTTCATTACGTATTGCTTAGCTTTTTGATTGAATATATGTTTCTATTTGTTTTCTCGAATAGAAACTCACTTGCTTTTTGATTGAATTCAACGTTATTTACAGTTTTTCCCATTACTTGATGCAATTTTTGATGTTAAACCAGATGCATAAAGTACTATCTTGTTACAAAATTTCTTTATTTTTGAATAATTATTTAGTACTTTATTTATGGTTTTAATTATTAAGCATGTTCAATTTTTCTAATATTATCATCATAATATATTGGTGTTTTTATTTCTTTTTTTTTAAAATATTTTTTATTTATTTTGGTCATTTATTTATTTAACTGCTATCGCACCCGCTGGTTTACCAGTCATAAAACTCCTGCAAACGCACTAATTTTCAAACGCTAAACCAGTCGTTCAAAACGCTTGATAACGCTTAAAGCCGCAACCGCCCGCTTCCGCAAACTCCCGCAACCGCAACCGCAACCGCTGCGTTTAAACCAGTCAGGCCCTTAAATGAGAAGCCAAAGTTCCAAGTCATATTAAATCAGATTTCATCGTTTGTTTAATTATTTCTATACATAAACTCCTTAAAAAAAAAAACAGAATCTAAAAAACAAAATTAAAATAAATAAATAAACGTTAGCATAAATAAACAGAATTTAAAGATTAGCATCTTTTTTTTTAGCAACGTTAGCATTAATTTTTTTTTTTTTAAATAGCAATTAGGAAATGAGTGAATATATAGGTATGGAAAGATAAGTTGTAAGAGATAATTTAGGATCTAAATTGTTAATAACTTTTATTAAATTTTTCAAATTGTTAGAATTAAAGCCAATGGCATTCTTTATAAATACTGCCCAACCCCAGGATTTATTTGCTAAAAGTGTTCAAAAAATGAATATATAGATTTAGGGGTATTGGAACAAATATTTTGAAAGATTTAGATTTTTTGGAACAAAAATGTTATTCAAATTGAGATTATAAAATCTCTTCTCAAATCCTATCTTATTCAACTTGACATTTATGTAAAATCATTCAAAATAATTCAAAATCTCTTGTTATTCAATCAATGATTTATAAAAGTCATATCAAATCCACTGTTATTCAAACTTAACAAATCCTTTTAAAAAAAAAATTGAAAACAGATTTTGAGAGATTTTGGATACCTATTTAGTTAAAAAGTAAGAATGAAAGAATCACACCTCTATAGGTGTTATTTGAAAAGATTTAGGAAAAACAATTAGCAGAAAAACTGCAAAAATAATATTATCATCGTATTTTGTTCATCTCTCTCGGAAAAGAGGGTTTAACGCTCAAACCCTCTTTTATTTAAAGATAAAAGTGGACACAAGAATTCGATTTCAGATTGAACCCAAATTTAGCTTCTCCAACAAATTTTGTGTCTTCCATTAAAACAGCTTTGAGATGTGGAAAGAGAGGTATATAGCAGATGTGGTGTGTTGTTAGTTCTGATTCCATCTCAGTAACTTATGTTCATAACCCTTTCTTAGCCAATTCTAGTCAGTTTAATTGAACCTATGTAGTGAAATTAACTCTTGTTCTATCGATTTTGATTGTGGCTGCAAAAAAAAAAGACCAAGAATTTGGTGTTCGACCCATTTTTCTAGCTGTTATGGCCTTGGTTTGTCGATGTGGTTCTTTGGGGTTACAGAACTGTTTACGTAAGCATTGGCTTCGTGAAATCCATTTTTTCCTTTTTTTTTGTTCTAAAAATCTCCCAAAATCAGCCAAAGTTTTTCTTTTAAATCTTCCCAAATCACTGGAGATGGCAGACGAGCCTGCCCGCGCCCAAACAGGCCGACCGCAATGGGCCTTTTCTAAATCTGATCCGCGACGGTCTAGCCCGCTAACGACCGCGGGTTACAAACACAAGCCCATACCCGCCCCGCATAGTCCAGCGGATTGAAGGGCCGGCCCACGGGCATTCTTGGTTCAAGAATTTTAAGTTCGGTTCGTGCAAGAAATCCTCTATGTTTAAATAATATGTTCTACAACCCAGCTAAAAAAATACTAGAAAACAAATCTATGAATACAAGCTATGAAAACTCAACAAATATACAACCTGCGGGCATGGTCCGTCAAATAAACCAAATATTGCAACAATTCAATTAAACGGTTACAATCTCATTTAAATATATTTTAATAATTACAAAATAAAAATTAAAAATAATAATTCATGAAAAGTACACCGACGGTAGATGATCAAATGTTATAACGATTTAAAAATAAACTCAAAGTTTTGATTGTTCGTGAAATAAACTAAATATTGCAATGGTTCAACTAAACGGTTACAACCGTTTTATGAAAAGTTACAATAAAAAGACGCAACCGTAGAAAACATTTACTTGGATTGCAACTTTTTCAAAAAAATGTAATGTTAAATATCTATTTTTAGTTTTAAAAAATAAACAAAATATTGCAATGTACCAAAAGTTGCAGCGGTTCATCAAATTCGTCAAATAAACTAAAGATTACAACGGTTTGTAAAACAAAACCAAAAGTTGCAATGATCTGTCAAATAAATCAAAAGTACAACGGTCCAATTAAACGGTTACAATCTCATTTTAAATATATTTTGGCAATTAAAAATTAAAAACTAAAAATAATAATTTATGAAAATTTATACCGAGAGACGCGATGGTAGATAATTAAATGTTATAGCGATTTATAAAATAAGCCAAAGGTTGCAATTGTTCGTGAAATAAACTAAATATATAAACCAAAGGTTGCAATTGTTAGAAATAAACTAAATATTGCAATAATTCGAATAAACGGTTACAACTGTTTATGACAATAAAAAGATGCAACCGTAGAAGACATTTGGATTGCAATTTTGTAAAAACATAACTGTAAATATATATTTTAGTTTAAAAAAAAATTAACTAAAAATTGCGATTAAAAGATACAACCGTTCACAAGTGCAAAAAGAATTTATTGAGATTGTTATAATTAGTAGATTATGGTGAAAAGATGCGATCATAAATAAAAAAATATTAAATAGAAAAATATAATGAGTAGATGCAATTTTTTAATTTCCTAAATAGTTATAAATATAACTATATAAATATATTCATGAAAATATTATGATAAAAAGATGCAATATTTTAAATTGTGTTATGTTAAAGAGAGACAATCTTCGGGAAAAAATTATCAAATAACCAAAATTGATAGTTATTTAGTAAATAATTAATAATAATATGGATAACAAAGTATATACATGGATGCTAAATAGCAAAACTTTCTATGAAAAAAAAAGAAATAATAAATTTACAGCTCTTTTCTAAGAAAATAAAAATATATAAATAGAGTTAAAAAGACATGAAAGTTTAAATAGAAAAAACTGTTTGTGAAAGATATAATTATTGGAACGAAGAATTTGTGATGAAAAACACGAATAAATCATGGGGACAAGATAATACTCTAAAAATTTCTCTTTTGATATATAGAAAATCGTTTTTTTTTTTTCTCTCGCTAATGTCAAACTATTTTTCTCCTCTTTTTTCCTAAAAAAAGGTCATGGTCATTTTTTCTTTGTTGGTTATAAATCAATTCATTATAATTAGAAAATCTCTTCTATAGGTACTCGACGTGTAACCAATAATTGTATTGGTTATATGATGTAGACATGACCAAAAGCTAACCGTAACCGTATTTCGGACCGTAACCGGACCGTTTCTCAAACGTAATCAGACTGTATAAATCGGTTAAAAACCGTAACCGTTAACCGTAAAATAGATTAGTTATTGTTAAAAAATATACTAACCATAACTGTTGATTAACCGTAAATGCATCAAACCCGTTAGTTAACTGTACGGTTAACCGTGCGGTTAACCATACTATTAACCGCATAGTTAAAACTTTAAAAATATAATTGTAACTCCGTATAGTGCAAAAACAAATATTGAATGTTCAAATAAAGATTTTCAAAAAAAGTAAATGATACAGCATATGAAAAATATACATTTGAAAATGGTCTTTTTCTCATCAAATAACGTAACCGTAATCGTTGTAACCGTAACCGTGTTTAAGCGTAACCGTTTTCACCGTATATATAGTAGTTAAGATTACGGTTAAAAGAAAATTATAATCGTAACCGGTGGTTAATCAACTGTAACCGTAATAACCGTAACCTTGATCATGCCTAATATGATGTATTGTGAATTGGGATTTGACGCTTGTCAGATCACATAGATTACCAACAAATGTTTTTAGGCTTTTGCATACAATTTTGAAAATTCAATATATTAAATATTATATTCTTAAAATTTATATCTTAAATCTATTGATAAGACTATAAGAGTCAAGACAATACAGCTTGAAAACTAAGATTTTACCCAACCATACATTTTCAAAAAATGATGATCTTCATCCGTGAGGTAGATCCCATCATCTAAAGCCTCCCAAACTTTTATGGCGCCAAATCTTATAGAATGATTCTGTTTATACGCAGTAAATGTTACAGAGTATTGAGAATTAACCCCATGCTTTAGTGTGCAAACAAACTTAGTCTCACCGAAAATGCTATCCCCAAACTTAAAAGTATATACGTATGAACGTTGCACTGAGTGAATACCGAGATCATCATCATCTGATTTGCATTGAACTGTAAGAACTTCATCAGTCCTGCTAAAAGAGTTTCTAAAATATAATTGATTTTTTGGAAAAACTCTACTAGCGTTGTTCGATCCAACACTCAAAGTAATTACAAAGACCAAAACGAAAAGATTATTCATAATTTCGAAGAATATCTATTTTTTTAGTTTTTGACTTTTTGTATAAGTTCCAAAAACTAATTCACCCAAGGAGTTTATATATATTATATTTTCGAATTAATATCTTTGCATATTTACTAAGGTAAATTAGGTAGACAATATAAATATAGAAGTTAATAAAAACAAATCTTTGACTCTTTTAATTAGGTAAGACTTTATTAGATATCTTTGACTCAAACCAATGTTTTTAAATCCGATCTGGACGGTGAACCGGACTACCTTTTGGGTCACCGGGTCACTGGATCAACCGGGTTCGACCACGGATCAATTGATTAAATTTTTTTTAATGTATTTAATATTTATAAAAATTATATAGTTTTAGAAATATAAAAATAAAAATAATCATACCATGTTTAACAAAAAATAAATCTAACAATAATAATAAAATAAATTTCTCAAAAATCCAACAAAAAGTCTAAAACCGTAACAAATACTAAAATAGTAGGAGATCACCAATGCGAAAATAAACTAATAAACATCGTGAATTCAAAACAACTAATCTCGGTTGTCTCTCTCACCATTTCATTCATTCTATTCATGCGGTATTGTGAAGTCTTCATCAAAATCTAAAACATCAAGAACACATAGTTTAGTCAATGTGTTATGTATAACTAAAAGTCAATTCAAAAAGTTTAATCAACAATTTAAGATACCATTTGACTTTTGAGTCAGATGTGTTGAGTCGTCGTTTAAGAAGAGATGAAAACTACAAAAAAGGTTCTAAAAATAACTAAGTAGAGTCTAAATCCATACCCACCGGTTCAACCGGTTCACCGGGTTGTGGGTTAATAGTGGGTTTTTATGGGGTTCCCCGGTTTGAAATTGACGGATATTTGCACTAAACCACAACCGGAAAAGTGTCAAGGTCGCGGGTGAACCAGTCAGACGGGGCAGTCTGGATCGGGCGGTCCGGGTCGGGCATGAAAACATTGTCTCAAACTATATATCTAGTGCACATCCTATACTAATATTACGGAAGTACATTAACGAAACTAACCTTATCCTTTGTAAAATATTACTTAGGAATGCCCTTGGAAATAAATTTTCAAAGATCAATTAGTTCATCTCATTAAGGATAAACAAGTCAAATACTACATTATACAATTTAATTAAATTATAAAAACAAAAATACATTACTAATTGTTTTTTAAAAAACGAATAACCAATCAAAATGAACATAGAAGATTTGATTTCTAACTTACCATATTAATTTGTTATTAATCATAATACTTTAGCTCTCATCTTTTTATGATTCTATTTTTGTGCAACAAATAAATCATCAAATCATCCATATAATAAAAAATGTATATTTTTCCGCATATGCCATAATTTGAATTTTTAAAAATGAATATGAAATGTTTAATATGTGAAGAAAAATTGTAACGGGTCAAAAATTAAGACTTGAGTAATATTTTAATTTTAATCAAAAATTTCGACTGAGTAACGGATCGGAATTTGAATATTTATATTCAATTTCATACATTTCTTTTTTTCAAAATGTATAATTTTATATATTACATTAAACTTTTTAAATATTTTAACTTGGAGCATTTAAAAATAGTTTAACTTGATATTTTAAAAGAATATCATAAATATTTGATAGATCAAAAAGTTAAAAATTATAAATATTCTAATTTTAATTTTTTAAAACATATATATTTACAATATTTATATTAGACGACATGTTAAATGTAATGTATTATATGATGGATAAGCAATGATCCTTATCAAAACAAGAACCTCACTTAAACCAAAAATTGGTTTCAATTTGGCTTCTTTGGAGGATTTGGAAAGCGAGGAATAAATCTTTAACAAATATTTGGAAAGTCCCTCAAAAATAGTCCTACAAGTCGAAGCAGAAGTTCAAGAATGGATCAAAAGTCTAAATAAATCTCAAACATCAACCATCATACCACCTAATAATCATTTTGTAGCTGATAAATGGATACGACCTCCTCCCACGGTTGTCAAATGTAATTTTGATGCTGACTTTGATGTCGAAACGTATAAAACTACTGGCGGTTGGATCATAAGAGATGATCAAGGGAATCCAAAGGCTTGGGGATCATCAAAATTGACTAATGTATCATCTCCCTTAGAAGCGGAAGCGAAAGCCCTTTTAGTGGCAATGCAACAGGTATGGATACGAGGTTTCAAGAGCTTGCAGTTTGAAGGTGACTCTGAAATTTTGATCAATGCAATTAATGGAAGGACGATTCACAGCGAGTTAACAAATCTGCTACAGGATATTGACTATTGGTCTTCAAAGTTTTCTTCTATTCAGTTTATGTTCATCAGACGTTCGGGCAATAGTGTAGCTCATAATCTAGCAAAGTTTAGTTGTTTCCATGGTGATTTCTATTCTAACTTAGTAGATCAGCCTTTGTGGCTTAAACGATTGGTTTGTAAAGACTCTTTCATTACTTAATAAAGTATAACAGTTTGCAGAAAAGAAAAAAAAAAAGCAATGATCCTTATAACAGACGGCGAGTGAAGATTATATGATGAGATGGTTTAAATAAGGTTTTACAGCTAAGAAAGTTTCCAATTTGATTCTGCAAGCATTTTTGAAAAATAACGAATGATAGATTGATTACCCGTGGCTACCAACTAAATGTCAATTGTGTTTTGATTGGGGTCATAAGGAAAAGGACTGCTCTATAGCTGATAAGGTTAAGATTCTTTCGAAGAATCAAACAACAAATACTATGAAGTCACAAGGGCCTCAACCTCAGTTCAAGAATTGACAAAAAGCATGTTACACGATCTGGAGAACACACCGTCTCTGCAGCTAAGTAATGTAAGGTATGAGCAAGTGGTTAAGGTAACTGATGATCCAGCAGCAGTCGGGAAAGGAGTCTCAGTGGACTCTTGTGACGAAAAACAGTAAAAGCATTATCATCTTTAGAGGAGAAGTTTTTACATCAGAAATCACGAATACAGTGGCTAAAGTGTGGGGAACAAAACACGTCCTTTTTCCATAGTGTAGCCCAAGTGAACATCTCTCGTAACGTAATTCACAGTTTAACCTTAAAATATGGCGACGTGATTACCAATCTAAGTGAGATTAAAGTAGACGGAGCTAAACATTTTTGGGAATTCTTCAGAAAAAGTGGTTGATTTTGAGGAGGTATCTCAGGATTATCTCTCTACTTTAATGGTTTATCGGTGTTCTCTTACTCATTGTGCTGATCTGGTTTCCCCTGTTTCTAGTGAAGAGATTCAGCGAGATTTGTTTTCTCTACCATCAAGGAAGGCTTGTGGACCTGATGGATACAAAAATAAATTTATGTGACCGCGTGGAGTGTTATTGGATATGATTTCACATATGCGGTTTAGTCTTTCTTCATTTTTAGTCAAATGCCACGGTCGGTGAATGCTACACTATTGGCTCTTATTCCCAAAAAAACAGATTCAAACTATTCTACAATGAAGGATTGTCGACCAATTGCCTGCTGCAACATGTTATAAAAAGTGGTATCGAAGATTTTGCCTAATCGATTGAAGAGTTTTCTCCCAGATTTTATTGAACCAAATTAGTGCGCTTTTATTCAAGGGAGATTACTGCTCGGGAATGTGTTGTTAGCTACGGAACTTGTTAAAGATTATCACTAGGACTCCATATCTCCTAGAAGTGCCATGAAGTTTGATATATCGAAAGCCTTTGACACGCTACAATGGTCTTTAATCCTATCTATTTTCAGGGCTTTGGATTTCTCGTATGTTTTCATACAATGGATCAATGCTTGCATATCTACTGCCTCATTTTTCGTGGTTATCAACGGTGAGTTTGAAGGTTTTTTCGCGAGTAGTAGAGGAATCAGGCAATGATGCTCCTATCTCCATACTTATTTGTTATGGTTCAGATCGTTCTCTCTTGTCTTCTCAATAGAGCAGCAGCTTGTGGTCTTATTGGTCGCCACCCTCGTTGTACTCAAGTCTACGTCACTCATTTGAGTTTTGCGGATGATATCATGGTCTTTACTGATGGTTCTCCCACCTCCTTACGGGAAATGATATATCATGGATTTTACGGTTTTTAACCATGATATAGGTATTGCTTTTAGAGTCTTTTAATTATTTCTAGAGTCTCTTCATGTGTTTACGTGATCGGGATGCGTTTGGAGATTATGAAGCAATTTGGAGCAAAATCTAGGAATAAAGATTGAAGAGATCAATTTGAAGTCAGATCAAGTAAACAAGTTTTGAAGATTCCAGATTTGCTCCAGAAGTTTTCCCTATTTGCAATTAAGTCCCTGGACATTTTTAAAGACATATAAATAGATTTTTGGATCATTGTTTAGACCTATCTTGCTTTTTACTTTGTATTCACTCAAAGCTTGAACCCTTTGAAAGATAATTGGAGATAGCTTTATTTTTCAAAGATTTCAAAACCCTGTAGAGAGAAGATCTTTTCTTAACTCTATTATCTTTTGATTTCTTTATGCAATTCTATTTAAACATGTTTTCTGCTTCTATGATCATGTCTAAGAAGTTTTCTAGTTTGGTTTAGGGATTCTCAATAGGGATTTAGTTGAATTAGTAAATCGATAACCTATACGAATAAAATCTATAGAGTTATTCATCTGTAATTGTTCTTAATGCTAGTTCTAGAGTAGCTAACTAGAACTTGATTTTAAGATAATAGGTTAGACACGAGAGTGCGCTTATTACCGGAACTATTTTAGGTGGGCAAAAGTAGCTAAATACAGACGAGAGTTGGTTTAGATACTTTTGTGAACATATCGAACTTGATCGTTAATGCTTGTTTAAGTCTAGGGATTTACAAACGAGAGTTGGAATTCCTGCTGTTAGGCATAGATAGTCAATTCAGATGAGAGTTGGTTGATTATAGTTTTGTGATTTAAGTTCTAGAACAATTCTTTAATAATTCTTAATTAATAGCTAGATCTACGATTCTGATATTTCCTGAGAAATATCCTAAACCTGACGCTTGATCCATCTAAATTTACAACCGATTTAATTGCTTTCCTTGTTTTTAATTTGTAATATTTATGTTTAGCTTGATTTCGAAACTAAAAATTTTCTTTGTTAACAAAAGAATTTGTGGAATTCGACCCTTAAGTACTAGCGACGATCTCTTTATTTGAGGGAGTAAACTTGAGGCAATTTGACTCATATAAGGAAACTTTAAATGTCTTTGAAGAGTTTGCTCGTATATCAGGCTTACACATCAATGCCAACAAATCAGCGATATATGTGGGTGGTCGGAATAAACAAGAACTCATGGGGGCTGCAGTTAACCATGGTACCCACGGACTCTCTTCCTATCCTTTATCTGGGCTTACCTCTTACTACAAAATCCATGACAGCTCATGACTATGCTCCTCTTGTTGACAAAATCCGGTCCTGCTTGCTATCTTGGACTAGTAAGTTTTTATCTTACGCAGGTCATTTGCAATTAATATCCTTGTCATTTCAAGTATCTCAAATTGCTGGTGCTCAACGTTCCGTTTACCTGCGAGATGCTTCGATGAGATAGACCGGATGTGTGCAGCTTTCCTATGGTCTGGAAACCCAAACACTTCGACGGGAGCTAAGGTTACTTGGGAAGAAGTATGTAAATCGAAAGATGAAGGGGGTTTTAGGCTGAGAAGACTGTGTGATGTGTTTGATGAAGAGGGGTTTCTTTTGGACAGCTCCAAACACATCCTTAGGTTCCTCCTTGTTTCGTGTGTGGCGAGGTAAATGAAATGAGAGATCACTTATTTTTTGCTTGCCCGTACTCCTTCGCAGTTTGGTCCTCAAATGCGGGAAAACTACTCCGCCATTACATGGACCCGGATTGGGAGGACACAATGGCTGCGATCCAAGCTCCTACCGGAGACCGTCATTCGACTTTGTTTCCAAGTTACGATTTACTCCATCTTGCGTGAAAGGAACGTACGTGTTCATGGCAAGGGGGTTTGTCGACAGCCCACATGATTAGTTCCATTAAGAAGACCATCTGTAATAGGGTCACATCTCTTGACTATACGAAAATGCCCCGCCTCCGCCTCCTTTTCCAGTGTTGGCTAATGGTCAGACCGTAGATGGCCTCCACGGCAATTTGACCCACTCTGTGTTGCTATGTTTCCAACCTTTCTTGCCTTGTTTATTGTTTTTCCAATTGCTCTATTGTAAACCTTTGTACTAGGGATATGGGCATAAAATCCAAAATTCGAAAACCGATCCGAAACCGAACCAAAAAATCCGGTTTCGAACCTGAACCGAATAGTTATACCAAACGGATAATGAATTCTCCTACCCGAATTACCCGAACCGAATCCGATCCGAACCAAAAACCGAAAAGATATCCAAAAACTCAAAAAAAAATTATATATCCAACAATATTTGTTATATTAGTTATAATTTTAAACCCAAAAATACCAAATAACAATAAATATCTGAAATAACCTAGATATCCGAAATAACCTAGATATCCAAAAATGTTTAGTTATATTTGTTAAAATTATATAATTTTTTTACGAAATTTAACCAAATTTTATTATAATTAAACCAATTTTTATTAAAACTGAACAAATCTTAAGTTTTTTTTTTCTCTAAAACCGATCCGAATCCGACACTATCTGAACCGAAACCGAACTGAATAATCATAAAATCCAAACGGATAATAAATATGCCTACCCGAATTATCCGAATCCGATAAAATCCAACCGAATCCTAACCAAAATCCGAATGCCCAGGCCTACTTTGTACATATGATAACTTATTCTGATCAATGAATTACACATTTAAACAACAACAAGAACCTCTATTTCAACAACCATAGAATTAAAAAAATTAAAAAGAACTTCCTAAATTAACTCAAAATAATAGCTAACTACCTTAATTAACTCAAAATAATCTACATTTTAGATGCGATTAATTTATAATATTTTTGATCTAATGGAATATGCAATCTTATTTTGTGGTTGTTAACATAAATAAACGCACTGTTCAAACAATATTATTATTTCTAAATAATATTACTTGCCGTTTTTCATATCTTAAGAAAAAATATTTAATAATTGAATATTATATAAAAAGAAAATTTTATTTATTATAATATTATATATAGGGACTGACAAAAAAAATATATTTTAATTACTACTATAATATATCAAAAATTTATTCTAAAATATGTAATTTATAAAAATATGTACTAATGCTAAAGATTTGTTACTAATGCTAAAAATATGTAATAAATAAAATTTAACATATGCTATAACACGGGTCATGATCTAGTTAAAGGTTTGTTACAATAGTCATCATACTGAAAGAACGTAGATGATATTAATTCGATTCGTTTTGTTTTTGCTTCCAACTTTTCTTTTTTTCTTTGGTCACAAATTTTACCTCCTTGTAATTTAATTTCTAAATAAACAACCATATCAGAAACGTTGATATGAATAAAAGTTACAAAGATATTTATTGTTATTGAAAAATTAAAATTTGATACGATAAAATTTGGTTTAAACTCTCAATTTTTACAATAGATATCCTAAAAGATTGTTTTAGTAAATGACAAAGAAACAATTACATTTAAAAGCCATCATCAATGATTAATCTTATTCATAATGAAACTTAGCAAAAAGAAAAACCTAAGACGGGTTTGTTTACGTCAGTCAGTTTGTTTCAAGAAACCATGAAAATAAGTTTGGGATACATCATGCCAAACAATATATGTTAAAGAAATAGAATAAAAAAGAACCACAATATTATTCAGAAAAATTCTGAGCTACAATTTGTAATTTGGGAATTGGATTCCGATAATCAAAACGGTGTGATCTAATTAAATGAATATATTGTGAAAAATCAAATCTGCAAGAAAGTATTCATGTCCTTACTTAACCATGATCCATCAATAACTAATCCAAAGTTATATAATCCAATAAAACAATTCTCTGAAATACTGAAGTCGTATCAAACATACATTAGAGTAGAGAATAAAATTGTAATATAACGGAAGATGAAGAAGTGAATTATTTGCATATAATTTCGAAGATCCAATATATTAAGTAATATTCTCTTATAATTTATATCTTGAAATCTATGGACATCAAGAGTAAAGATAGATTTTACCAATCATACATTTTCTCAAAATGATGATCTTCATCTGTGAGGTAGATCCCATCATCTAAAGCCTCCCAAACTCTAACGACACCGGTTCTTATATAAAAAGAAGGATTCTCTTTATATGCAGTAAATGTTACAGAATATTTAGAACGAACCCCATGCTTTAGTGTACAGACAAACTCAGTCGAACCGAAAAAGCTATCCCCAAACTTAAAAGTATATACGTAAGAACGTTGCACTGTGTGAATACCGAGATCGTCTTTTTCAGATTTGCAATGAACCGTAAGAACTTCAGTATTTCTGCTAAAAGAGTTTCTAAAATATAATTGGTTTTTTGGAAAGAGTCTGCTACCGTTGTTCAATCCCACACTCAAAGCAATTACAACGACCAAAACGAAAAGATTATTCATAATTTCAAAGAATATATATTATTCTAAGTTTTTGTATAAGTTTCAAAAGTTACTTCACCCAAGAAGTTTATATAGATTTTCGAATTAATATCCTTTCATATTTACTAGGGTGAATTAGGTTGACTACACAAATATATACCTTAATTAAAACTGAATCTTTGACTACAAACTCTGGATTTTGTTCTGGTTTTATTAAAGACGACAAAAAAAAAAAAAAATTAAAACTGAATCTTTGACTACTCTTTTAATTTGGTAACAACCTAATTAAATATCTAAGTCCCAAACTATTCAGTGCACATTTAAGAGTCGTTACAACAACCATCACACTGAAAGAAAGTAAATGATATTAATTCGATTCATTTTGTTTTTGCTTCTAACTTTTCTTTTTTCTTTGGTCACAAATTTAACTTCCTTGACTTATTTTTCTGTTACATGTAATTTAATTTCGAAAGAAGCAACCATATCACAGAGGTTGATATTAGTTACAAAGATAATTTATTTGTAATGAAATATTACAATTTACTACGGTGAATTTTGGTTTAAAATTTTATCTATTACATTAGATATCTTAAAAGACTATTTAGAAAAAATAACAAAGAAACAATTACATTAGACCTATGGTTTGATTCAGATGGATGGCGCTATGTTTGTAAGCTTGTTTCAAGAACCCATGTAAGTAAGTTAGGGATAAGACATCATGCCAAGCAATATATGTTAAAGCGATATAATAAAAAAAGACCAACAATATTTATGAGAAAAATTCTAAACTATAAATTTTAATTTGTAAACTGGAAACTAGATTCCAATAATCAAAATGTTGTGATCTAATTAAATGAATATTGTACAAAATCAAATCTGCAAGAAAGTATTCATGTCCTTACTTTTAAAACAATTTATTTATTTATTTTTTTTTTTTTTTTGTATGAATGTAAAATTTATTCACCAAAAAAAGACTGTTTTACAATAAATGCAACGTTAATCTGAAAATCCAAAACAATTGAGGAAGAGATTACAACATGAAAGAATCATCCACGTCAATGGGTACTAAACCAATATCGCAGCCCGCCTTCGAAAACGGGTGATCCAGTCAAAACCAAGGTACTTAGCCTGTTTCTCATACTCTTGTCAATCACATTTGTTAACTGCGAGGCCGGTGTTGGAGGCTCCCCATGTCTTCTCCCATTCCGTTCTCGCCAAAGACTATGAATAGAGAGTTGAAATACATACCGCAACACAAACAAATGAATTTGTGGAGTTGTCGAGGATGTGAGGAGAGGTAGTAGAGACTCCCAGCTTGTTGTAAACCGTAGTCCAAGCATATCTCGGGTTAGAGATGACCAAACGTGAGAGGAGTAGGGACAAGAGAAGAATAAGTGGTCCCTTGTTTCTACTCTCTCTTGGCAGAGAACACATCCTCCATTTGAAGCCCTGTTCCATTGCAACAGTCTGTCTCCCGTAGCGAGGCGATTTCGAATGGCGATCCAAGCTGTGAATGAATACTTGGGTGTGGAGTGTTGGAACCATACACCCTTGTACCAGTCACATGTTGGATTTGTTTGCCGTATCGCTTGCCAAGTTTCCTGTGAGTTAAATGAGTTCTTGAAAGTACCATTACTTCTTTTCCAAAGAGAAACATCATTACCAGAATGGGAAGAAAGAAGACGGAGAGAGTCCATTTGTTCCTCAATCTGGTTCAAAGCACTTGCGCGATGTCTACGGCGACGATGCGACGAGAGAGCTGCGGCAACAGTGGAATTGGAAGAGATTCCCATGTCAATGCTACCACGGGGGCCAGTGATATCAACTAATCTCCCAAGAGAGCACCACGTATCCTGCCAGAAAGAGGTATGCATACCTGATTGGACCTCCATTTTATGAAGAGGTTTAGCCATGTCTCGATATTTCAAAATTTTCTTCCACATCCATGAACCCGCATTACTTGTGCTACGGGCTGACCAAAGGTGACCGTGACGGAGCAGATTTGTTCGAATCCAATTGACCCACAGGGAGTCCTTAGCAGACATTAGTCGCCATATGAGCTTCAAGATACACACCGTGTTTGTTTCAGAGAGTGGTCTTAAGCCCAAACCACCTTCCTTTCTCGGTTTACACACGTCACACCAAGCAACTTTCGCCTTTCTTGTACTTAGTTCAGGACCAGACCATAAGAAAGCAGAGAATAGGCTGTCAAGCTCTTTGATACACTTACTTGGCAAACGAAAAGCCGAGAGCCAAAAGTTAGTGATACTTGATAGTACAGATTTTATCAATTGAAGCCTCCCCGCAAAAGATAAAAAACGACCAGTCCATGTTGTAATTCGTGATCTTATCTTCTCTAGAAGAGGAAGGTAATCTGATCGGGTCATACTCCTAGTGAGGAGAGGTAAACCAAGATACCGGACTGGGAGAGTACCCGCAGAGAAAGGAAAACGTTGAAGAAGATATTGTTGATGCTCTTGTGAGTGACCTGCTAAGAACAACGTGGACTTCTCCAGACTGATTTTTAATCCCGAGAGTGCTGTAAACTTATCAAAAACTTTCAGGATACCCTCAACTGAACGTGCACTTCCATCTGAAAAAACCAATATATCAACCGCAAAACACAAGTGGGTTAGTCTCATGTTTTTGCAACGAGAATGATAACCAATTTTGCTAGACATGGCCGCTTGATCAAGCATACGAGACAGAACGTTCATACAAATGACGAAGAGGTAAGGTGAGAGAGAACAGCCTTGTCTCAAACCCCTCTTGCTACGGAAAAAAACCCGCTAGCTCCCCATTGACTTGAACCGAGAAGGATGCAGTACCAACACACAACTCAATCCAATGAATAAAATTATCCGGAAGATTCATAGTCTTTAGAACTGTGAGCAAGAAAGGCCACTGTACCGAATCAAAAGCTTTTGAGATATCAATCTTCACCGCACACCTACCCGAAATAGATTCTTTGTGGTAATCTTTAACCAACTCCGAAGCTAGCAACAAATTCTCCATCATAAGCCGATCCTTAATGAATGCAGACTGGTTTGGTGCTATAGAGGAGGGAAGTATTTTCTTCAATCTATTAGCAAGAATTTTGGAGATTACCTTGTACAAGACATTGCAGCAAGAGATAGGTCTGTAATTTTTCATCTCATAAGCTTCAGTCTTTTTTGGGATCAAAGCCATAATAGTAGTATTAATTCCTTTAGGTAAGAAGCCTTTAAGGAAAAAGGACTGAATCGCTGTAACAAAGTCTGAACCCAAAATATGCCATGTTTGCTTGAAAAACTCCGCCGTATAGCCATCAGGACCAGGGGCTTTATTCCCCGGCATCTTAAACAACACTTTACGAATCTCCTCCCCTGAAACCTGAGACTCCAACGCTTCTTGATCCACAGTGGAACAGCGAAAATCCACCAAATCTTGAATCTGATCCATGGATACTCCCTCATAATCCACTGGTTCCTGAGTTAAAAAATCCTCAAAAAACCTGACTGCTTCATTCTTAATATCTTCTTGACTTGTGGCTACAGATCCATCATGACATTTTATTTCTCGGATTGCATTTTGAGCTATTCTGGCTTTGACTGCATTATAGAAATATTTGTTGTTTTTGTCACCCACCTGAAGCCAATGGAGCTTTGATTTTTGCCGCAAAAAACCCTCTTCTAGCTCTGCAACATGATCCCAAATCTTGTAAGCCTCTGCTTCCTCTTCCATTGAAGAAGTGGTTGGATTAGCAAGCGTAACCAACTGCTTTTCACAAAGTGACTTATGTGCTGTCTCAACTCTGGTCGATAGATGGTGAAGTTTCTTACGGCCTAAGGAACGCAGAATCGGCTTCAGAGCTTTGAGTTTTTTTGCAAACCGATACATAGCAGATGTAGAATGAAAAAGGACAGGTGTGCTATCCCAAAATTCTTGAACTGCAGGCAAAAAATCTGGCAGTGACGTGATGACATTCGAGAATTTGAATGGTCCACGTGGTCGACGAATTTCTGTTCCAAAGTTGAACCTGCAACGAAGATGATCTGAGCAGCCCCCTGGCTCAAAAACACAATAAGACTCTGGAAAAGCTCTGGTCCATTCCTCATTCACCAAAACCCGATCCAATTTTTTGCAAATTAATCCCTCATCCCGCTTGTTGCACCAAGTGAACAGGGGACCGTGTGAACTCATATCCACCAAAGAACAATACCTTATTGTATCTTGAAAATCTCTCATCCCAACGGGAAGAGACGAAGAGATGTCATAGCTTGAATGTTCTTCTCCATCAAGTATTTCATTAACATCACCTGTGATTATCCATGGTTTATTGTGAAACATTGGAGAATCCTGATGATACTTAAGATCTTCCCACAATTCTTTTCTATCCTCAGCTAGATTAGCCGCATAGACAAAAAAAATAAAGATCTCCGAGTTAGCTCCTTCCAACAACACTGAACATGTTATAAGCTGACCACTTTTATAAACTGGAGTCACCCTTACATTGTCCCTCCAAACAACCCAAATCCTGCCCCGACGATTAAATTCATAGTTTGACATAGACGCCCAATCTCGAAACACAAAAGATATGATCCGAGAAGCCTTGGTTTCTTGAACACGAGTTTCTAGCAAACAACCAAATTGTAGAGATACATCTTGTAACCAATCACGAACTATGGAATATTTTTTAAATTTGTTGAAGCCGCGCACATTCCAGAAGAAACCAGACATTAATGATGTTTTTTGGAGTTCTTTCTGCTTGAAACGCTAGGGATAACCTTAGCATGTTGAGAAAGAGACTCCGAGGTAGCTTTTTGGGAATTTTTGTCTTACGGGTTGCTCGTGCTGAGCTGGCCTTCTCCACAACTAGGGGAAGCTTTGCCGTGATAGCATTAGTGTCTACCACCTGTTCCGGATGCTTATCCTGCTCGTCTTCATCTTCCAAAGACTCAGAGGCTTTTTCCTTTGAATCTTGAACATTTTCTAGAACAGAGAACCGAGAAGCAGAGAGAATAGAGACTTGCCCGAAAGCAAGAGGAATTTGAGTTTTCTCATGACTCTTAC